AGATTTGTTCGTTCATTTGGCAATCCATAGCATATTCAGTATTCTTCACCAACACCATAATTCAAAGGCATCAATTCTTTAGTCTTCCTTATTCACTGTCCAGCTTTCACATGCATATGAGGCAATTGAAAACACCATGACTTGGGTCAGGCACACCTTAGTCCTTAAAGTGACATCTTTGCATTTTAACACTTTCAAGAGGTCTTTTGCAGCAGATTTACAAAGTGCAATGGATCATTTGACTTCTTGACTGCTGCTTCCATAGGCATTGATTGTGGATCCAAGTAAAATGAAATCCTGACAACTTCAATATTTTCTCCATTTACCATGATGTAGTATATAGTCGCCATTTATGTTGTTGAAAAAAGGTATTTGCAATGAGTAAGTCATTGGTCTTGCAAAATTCTATCATGTGATCTCTGGTGTTGTCTCTATCTCCAAGGCCATATTTTCCAACTACCAATCCTTCTTTGTTTCCAACTTTCACATTCCAATCACCAATAATTATCAATGCCTCTTGATTGCATGTTTGCTCAATTTCAGACTGAGAAGTCGGTAAAAGTCTTCAGTTTCTTCATCTTTGGCCCTAGTGGTTGGTGTATAAATTTGAATAATAGTCAAATTAACTGGTCTTCCTTGTAAGCATATGGATATTATCCTATCACCGGCAGTGTTGTACTTCAGGATAGATCTTGAAATGTTCTTTTTGACGATGAATGTGATGCCATTTCTCTTCAAATTTGTCATTCTCAGCATAGTAGACCATACGATTCTCCAATACAAAATGGCCAATGCCCATCCATTTCAGCTCACTAAGGCCTAGGATACTGACATTTATGCATTCTATTTCTTTTTTGACAACTTTCAGTTTTCCTAGATTCGTACTTCGTATATTCCATATTCTGACTATTAATGGATGTTTGTAGCTATTTCTTCTCATTTTAATTGTGCCACATCAGCAAATGAAGGTCCTGAAAGCTTGACTTCATCCATGTCATTAAGGTCAACTCTACTTTGAGGAGGTAGCTCTTCCCTAGTCATATTTTAAATGCCTTCCAACCTGAGTAGCTCATCTTCTAGCACTATATCTAACAGTTTTCCACTGCTGTTCATAAGGTTTTCACTGGCGGATTTTTTCAGAAGTAGACTTCCAGGTCCTTCTTCCTAGTTTTTCTTAGTCTGGAAGCTCCACTGAAACCTGTCCACCATGGGTGACCCTGCTGGTATTTGAAATACCAGTGGCATAGCTTTCAGCATAACAGCACCATGAAAGCCACCACAGTAGGACAAACTGACGGACAAGTGGTGGAAAGTTTGTTTAAATAGTCTATATTTTCATTCAATCCTTTACCATTTCCCATATTTTCCTCAATCTACACTTAGATTTTATTGACTAGATTTTTAGAAAAAAATGCCTCTATTCCACCCTACCATGTCATTTCAGGTGTTTCTCACTGTGATTTCCACCTTTTGGCTCTTAAAATTCCTCTACAGTAGAGAGAACTTGGTTATGGTTCTTCTATGATAGGGATCGAGCCAATTTTTAATAACTGTATTAAGACAGCGTTTTTTCTTATTTTAAACCTCATCAATGTCCACATTATTTATCTTCCTTTCTTTGACTTAAAAGGTCTTCACCTGACTGGGAGGGCCCTAGGTCTTCAAAAAGATCCCTTGGAGTAACATCTGCCTCAGAGGGTGTGGACTAAGGAGGCCTGATCTTGCCCTGCCTTGCCTCTCTGAAGCTCATAGTCAAAGAAAAGAATTGGTCAGTCTCAATTCATTTCCATGTGTTTAAGTTGGCCCAGGTATTTTGAAAGACATAAGATAATCAAATTCTTTCCCTTTAACTATTCTCTTGGTAAGCAGTTTTGCCTTATCTTTATCATAATCTTTTACCTCTCCAGTAAATACCTAAGCTCTTTAGCAGTTTTGTAAATGAACCCATCAATTCTTGGTTAGCCATTTTTTTTCCATCTAGGTTTGTCCTATGCCTCCATTTTTCCCATTCTGGAACTACTAGTTTTACTTTAAGACAAAATTGCCCCTTTTCCTTAAATAAAACTCATTTCGTACAATATCTAACTTAAGTTACTTAGAAAGATTTTGCTTTTAAGGTTGATATAGTACAGAACATAAAAATAATTGTAAGAATGAATTCACTTTTGTTAATTCCTAGAAAAATCAGACTATTAAATTTATATAAATACTTATTTATCACTAAACTGATCAGAATTACATTCTTTGAAGGACTATTATAATCTAATTCTATAATACCATCCAGAGGAAGGGAAATATTCCATTTTTATAATCCTATCTTCTGTATGGGTACTATCCTATTACAGTGGTTAACAGTGTGGCTGGTAACCGAAACGTGGGCCGTTTGAATCCATCAGCCACTCCATGGAAACCCTATGGGGCAGTTCTACTCTGTCCTATAGGGTCACTATGAGTCAGAATGGACTCAGCAGCAAGGGGTTTGGTTTTTGGATCTTCTGTGTGCTTTAAAGAGCAACTTAGAACAATTTGTCCTTTTTAAGGCCTTGTTATGCCAATCAAAATGAACAATCCAACCTTTGTCAGTGCATTTTTCAAATAGATCAATTTATATCAAAGTTTCTCAAAGTAGGTACTAAAAGCCCAATTCATAAGGCAGGTGCAAGAAGCAGTTTTACTTGGAAGAAAAAATTTAAAAACAAAGACCTAAGAAGACCTCATGAAAAACCAGCAACTGACAGCCACAGCCTCCTGAGGAAAGAGTGAAACACAACACTCTTTCTAGATCAGAGTCAAGCTCTCAGAGCAAAACAAGACAGAAAAACCACATAAACTCACCTGTCTGTGAGGCCAGCTCAAAAAAAAAAAAACAAACACCAGGCTTATACTCTTAACATAACAGAAAACAAAGCACATGGGGAACCCAGTTTCTTAAAATGTAGACAGTAATTCTTTGGTAAGATCAACCCAATTCAACAGAAAAACAAATTCTAGAAAAAAGTTACTAACTTCCCAGAGTCTCAGATGGAGGCATCTCAGGCCCTCTGACAAAATCTGAGCACCAACAAAAATTCCCCAAAGAGGCAAGAAAAGACAATGCAAATGAGAACTCATTTTCCCAAAATGGAAAGAAAAAAGATGAAGATGGGAATTCTTTTCCCCAAGTGATCACTGAAATTCCAAATTACTTCTAGTATATTTGGCTTACAGCATTTTTGATCATGAATCCCAAACCAGCATCCTGGTAGGAGTTGGGGGAGCTCCAGATTCACTTCTCTTAGATGTCAAAGATTCTATTCTCTTAGGTTGAAACTTAGGTTTCCTAGAGTCAAATAAAATTTCTAGCAGGGATTCCACTGTGGGGTTTAGTCAGCTTTTTGTTTCACAGTGTACCTCTATTGCATAAGACTTTTCTTGTGGCCGGTGGGCAGTCTAATGCTCTGGTCCATCTCCTGTCCCAGCTTAGCCTACACAAGTGTCTTTCTGTTGGTGGCGAGTGCCCTAGAGGCCCTTACAGTGCTCAAACTCATGACCACACATTTTCATGGCATAAAAAACTTTGGGTTCCTATACTCTACATTCTACCTTGGTGAGTAGTGTCTGGGGTCTTAAAAGCCTGTGAGCAGCCATCTAAGATACTCCACTGGTCTCATCCTTTCGGGAGCAAGGGAGAATGAAGAGAACAGGATACAAGGAAAAGATTAGTCCAAAGGACTAATTGTCCACAGCTACCAAGGCCTCCACCAGACTGAGTCCAGTACAGCTAGATGGTGCTCAGCTACCACCACTGACTACTCTGACCAGGATCACAACAGAGGGTTCTGGACAGAGCTGGAGAAGGATGTAGAGCATAATTCTACCTCACAAAAAAAAAGACCAGATTTACTGGCCTAAAAGAGACTGGAGAAACCCCGAAAATATGGCCCACAGACACCCTTTTAGCTCAGTGGTGAAGTTACCTCCAAGGTTCACGGTTTAGCCTGGGAGTGGACAGCCCCGTAAAACCAAATGAGACTAACGAGGTACAGGAGTCCAGTGACAAGGGCCAGAAAGCAGAAGGGGACAAGGAAGCTGGTGATAGGGAACCCAAGGTTGAGTAAGGATATTGTTGATGTGTTGTGAGATTGTTAACCATTGTCATAGGGCAACATTTGTAGTAACTGTTAAATGAGAAACTATTTTGTTCTGTAAACCTTCATCTTAAGTGAGAATAACAGCACAATTCAAAGAGCGTAGTCAATGTCACTGAACTGTGCATGTAGACATTTTTGAAATGGTGTATCTTTGGTTATGTGTATTTTCACCAAAAAATAAAAGAGGTTGAGAAGTTAGAGGGTTGATATGTTGTGGGGTTGTTAACCAATGTTATAAAACAATATGTGTACTTCTGTTTCATGAGAAACTATTTGTCTGTAAGCCTTCACCTGAAGTACAATAAAAATAAAATAAAATAAAATAAAAAAAACTTTGGGTTCCTTTTGTAATAACCGTATGAAACTTAGTTTCATTATTTCTAAACCTAGTTCATTCTGCCAGGTGGAGATGCGGTCTCTTACAACTTACAATCAATGTGTTTTTTGAAACAGTGTCTTTTAGAGAGTTTATTTTAGAATCCTGAATACATTTGGAAGCCTGAGACTACCAACAAAATAGGCATCGCATTGTTCCTGTCTGGTTTCAGCACCATGGTTTTCTAATTTAGACCTTAAATATACTAGTCTCTCCAGTTGGAATGTACCCCAAAGTGACCACTGATTTGACAAACTGTTGTTAGGGAGCTCAAACAAAAATCCAAATGCAAACAAGACCTAGACCCATAGTTCTTAGCCATGCAGTGAGCTGGGTTCCACTAGGAAAATCCACTGCTTTATTGGATTTGGCATACCCCATTTTGAGACAATTTTAAGTGCTACAAAACAACAAACTCACTGAACTCACAATAAATATTGGATTTAAGCTCCAAATGCAAAAGGAGCGGAGCTCGAGAATCTATGAGGGCTTACCTAGTCAGCCTCTAAATGCTCTGTGGAGACAGTAAGCAGAAGGGGCTTTTGCAGACGTCACATCTGTGTCTAAACAGAGCTCTGGGGGATGTCAATCAGTCACTACAGGTCCCACTTCTGATGTCAGGAATTGTCAAAAACCTAAATTGATTGGAGAAACACCAAAAATTAGTGTAACAGAATATATTAATTGTGAGTAGATATGATTCGAATTGGGCAGTGTCACCTGACATGTTGGGAGGGTGCTTTAAAGAGGAGACAGTGAAAGCAGGTTATATATGTCATTGTTATGTTAATTTCTCAAGAGATAGCATTAAAAGCACAGAGCAGGTTACAGAAACAGTCACCAAAGACATGCCATATGTCTTATTTATGTAGTCCTGCTATAACAGTAATACCACAAATGGGTCAAACAGAAATTTATTTTCTCACAGTTTAGGAAGCTAGAAGTCTGAATTCAGTGTGCCAGTTCTAGGAGATCAACTCAAGACACACGGCTATACTAATCCCACCTTATTAACATAACAAAGACCACCCATTCCCAAATGGGATTATAACCACAAACATAGAGGTTAGGCTTTACAACACATATTTTTGGAGGACACAATTCAATCCATGGCACCGTATATCCTAAAACAGCCTCTAGTCAGACCCTGGAGTTCCTGCTTCTCCAAACTGACAGCACATGAATAATTTTCCAAAAGAACCCAATGCCTAAGACCAAATGGTCTCCACTAAGCTGCTTACTAAGCTGTTGTTTGACCTAAGGGTGACTCCAGGAAACCAGTTCCTTCAAGGTTCAAAAGGACACCTAAGGGTGGATGGCCTGTGTGGGTCTGGATTCCAGGAGAATCAAAATGATTTTATCACCAGTTTGGTAGTTTTTATAAATGTGCATTTGTCATACAATCTAGCAATTTCTTTCATAGGCATTTACCCAAGGGAAACGAAAACATATGTCCACTCAAAGACTGTTACATAAACATTCACAGAATTTTATTCTTAAAAGCAAAAAACTGGAAGCAATCCAAATGTCAGACAATAGGTGAATGAATAAATTGTAATATATATGGAATACTACTGTGACACAAAGAACTCAACTTGGCCTTTGTCTTCGGTTCCTGAAAGATAGCCCTTGGAATTCCCCAGCAATTGAGGTGTCTTTGTCTTCTAAAAACAGCCAGGAAACACTTAAATGTGTGCAAATGAGTGGAGGCTACACAGATTCCACCCAGTCAGCTAACCTTATGAAGGGAGGGGGCCATGATTTAGTCAATAATGAGTATTCAGTGATTCAATCAACTGTGGCCATGCCATGAGCCCCTAATCATGACTATACAATGAAGCCAATAAAAAGACTTTGAAAATGGAAGTTTGGAGGCTTCCTGGATTGGTGAGAGCATGTAATCTCAGGAGGATGGTGTACTGTCCCAGGGGACAATGTAATTCTCATGCTGGGACCCTCACAGACCTTGTCCTGTGCATTTCTTCATTTGTATCCTTCTGGTTATAATAAATGGGTAACTGAAAGTATAGTACTCTCCATGGATTCTGTGAGTAGTTTCAAGGAATTAATGAACCCAGTAGGTGGACAGTGAGAGTCAGCAAGAGCTGGCATCTGCCTATTTGGCCATCTGAAGGATTGTGTCCTTTTAACTTGTGCGCTCTGACCTAGCTTGGGGTGGCTAGGATCAGAGAAGGGGTTGACTGGTCTGAAATGGAGGAAATCATGTGGATTTCTGAACTTGTAGCTGATGCCTGCTGACCTGCCCCTGGGTGGTCAGAGATGAGATAGAGAGGGCCAGCTTGTCTGAAGTCCAGGGAGTCATATGGATCCCTTTGCTTGGGGCTGATACCACTTGACCTGCCCCCAGTTAGCTGGGGATGAGAGATAATGCTGCTTGGAGCAGCTGGTGACAGGGAAAGAGATGTGGGAAGGTGAGAAATGGATCCACTTCCGGATGGAAATTGGATTCATGCTGATCCTTACCATGAAGTTAGCAGTAACGATGTGATTTGCCCACTTTGCCCCTTGCTTATGCCATTAGTACAACTACCCAGCTGCTGGACGCACAGGTGTGCTATATTATAATTGCCTCCTCACTGTCTCCCTAGCTGCTACTGGTCATAATAGCTACTAATGGACTTTAGTATGTGCTTAGGGGGAGATGATTGCCCTCTGAAGAGACCCAGAACTCTATCTTAGTGGAGTAAAGGGGAGAGGAATGCTTCTGATGCCAGTAAATCTAGCATGCTCTGAGTAGGGGCAATAAATGATGTCCATTGACTGCAATGGGCCTTCCACTTTTATTGCCACCTTTTACCTTTTGTTACTCCCTTTTATTGCCCCTTCCCTACCTATTCTCTGTACATGCTATTTGGCCCATCGACATGGCTGTCCAATTACTATTTAATCCTGGAAGAAAGGAATTCAGGCTTTCTCCTCCCAAGACATGAACAGGGGCATGCTTGGATGCCATCTAACCCTGTGGATGCAAGCCTAACTTCAGGGAACCGAGGCTGATGATGATGTGTGCTGTTCTATTCATCCCTGTCCTGTTTATTCAATAAATAATAAATGTCTGTTGATCATGCCATGAGAAGTGTCTGGTCTGTGCTCTGCTCCAAATGTTCTTTCACTAAGAATTTGTGAATATAGTGACATTGCACTTTGCTTCACCATCCATAAAGTATAATCCTCATTCTCATAGTTAAAACTGGAACTCCAGAGTTGCAGTCAGCACATTCATGTTCAAGGAAACATTACAGAGAATTAGAAAGAAGCGTTCACAGAAGTACCAAGCAACATTTCCTCTTGCACTTGTTCCCCAGAATTTAGGCATATCATTGTTAACCCAGAACTGAAACCATTCGCAAAGCCCACTCTTCAGACAAAGATTAGACAGGATTAATAAACAAAAAATAATACATGTAAGGAATGTGCTTCTTAGTTCAATCAGATATAGAGACCAAATGGGCAGCTCCTGTCCAAAAGGAAGATGAGAAGGCAGGAAGGGACAGGAATTGGTCAAACAGACACAGGGAATCTGGGGTAGAAGTGGGGGGGTGTGCTGTCACATTGTGGGAATTGCAACTAATGTCACAAAAAAAAAAAGTATATGAATTTTTATGTGAGAAGTTAACTTGAGCTGTAAACTTTCACCTAAAGCACAATAAAAAAAAAGAAGAAAAATTTAGTCATATCAACCCACCTCCCTGCAAAGAAAACTAGAAGGTGTAGTCTTTTAACTGCGTGGTGCTGTGCCCAGCTAAAACTCAGGAGCTATTACTCAGGAAATGCATAATGCTACTCTAAGACAGGCATTGTTACCACCATTTTCTATTTGAGTAAACTGAAACTCAGACTGGGTAAGTAACTTGCCCAGATTCCTGCAGCTTATACATGTTATGGCTGGAATTCAACTTAGATCTATCTCATTCCACTTTCCAGGACCCAGTACTAACCGGGGCCTCTCCCACCACAAAGGTTCAGTTCTCGGCAACATGCCAGAAGATTCTTTGAAGCTACGCAAAATATACAGCACATCTTCTAGTCGTACACATATTACTCCAAGATTTAGGATTAAAATAATTTTATTTAAAACGAACATAATTGTGTTATGGTGTAGAAGACCAAATCTGCAATCACTTTTATGATGGAACAAGAAATTTTAAACAAATGTTATGATTGTGTCAGGCCCTGTGGGCTAATCAGGTTTGAGAAGCCCCTCCCTGCCCTGCATGGTCTCTACTATACCTCATCGTTATATGTTGACTCTGGTCATTTCTGTTTTCTGTCGTTATCATCAGTTGCAGAGTGTTCCCTCTTTGGAACCTACAGCCTTTTAGGCCCCAGCTACACTTACTTAATATCAGCGTTACAAGCCACCAATTGATAAAAACTCTGATTCTTAACAGAAATGTTCTGTTGCTTTTCAAAGTTTGAAAATGACTAGTGGGCAGATAGAATTCCTGTGTAAAATGTTATTACTGTTACTGCCCAATCAGTTCATCCAGGTTTGGAAATATCTACTGACTTGCAAAAAGGGTTGTCAATTCCAAAGTAAATAACTCTATATGGCCCTGTGGACACACAGTCTTCATTCATGGTTACATCACAGCCTAGCTGTTCCTTTGATTTCCACACAGAGATTTCTGCCCATCGATTTTCCATGGATGGAATTTTTTAATTGTGGAGCTTCATGTGGCTCGTGAGATCCCATTATGGTGTCTGCTTGAAGGCTGTGGTTCAATTTTAAATAAAGCTTTGTCAGAATTATTACCAATAATTTGGGTGTATGCCCCCTACAATTATTGTACTAGCTGATGGAAAATTTAAGAATACAATTTGGAGGACTGTCAAATTGGCTCCAGACATCTGACAGATGGGTATGAAAATGAGTAGGAGATTTGGATATACATGAAAAAATTATTTCCTGTTTTTTTAATATATAGATACACAAGGCCTTCAACAAAGTACACCAAAGTTTGATTATAATGAGATAAATTGGTTATTATTTGTATGGACAAGTAGCTCAGAGACTTACTCTCTAATGTTGCCAAAAATCAGAGTGGTTAGTTTGTCCTGGCCCTAACACACAGCTTGCTAGGTGACTGGATGAGAAAAAAGGAGGCAGGGAAGAGAGGGCATATCTGAAATGTTAGACATGAGGAATTTCATTTTCTAATAGCTTGGACTCATAAACAAATGACGCTCAAGCCCGACCAAAAGTAAGATTGTGATCACTACATTTGCACACTGGGGCACAAGATATTTAAACACTGACATAGGAGTCTAAGAACATCCTGAGAGTCAAAGAACTTGTGTCCTTTGGGACCCAGGACTCTGGCTCTATGATGACGGTGTTATTAACACAGCTTGGGGAGGCTGGGCCTAACTCACCCTAGCCAGGATTTAGCTTAATTAGTAAAGAATGTCTGCCTTGAGCATTGTGCTCTTTTAAAGAACTATCTATATGGGATCAAACTGACAACAGCAACTCAAAAGGGTAAAGAAGAAATGTAGGGGGCAGTGAGTTCATGTTAATGGTGTAGGAATAACTCAGAAAAGGAGGATGAGAAGAGTTGCACAACTTGAAGAATGTAATCAGTGTCACTGAATTATACATGTAGAAACTGTTGAATTGGAATATGTTTTGCTATGTACATTTTCAATAACAAAAATAAACAAAATAAATTATTTTTTAAAAGGGTTAGGAAAATATCAGTTATAATTTACATCTCTAGTAAACGTAATTATGGTATTTCATTGAATTTAAGAGACAATTCCAATTTCTGAGATGTTAAAATGTAAAAACAAAACCATAAT